GGGGCTTTCTGTTTAGTCACACGCCATGCTACCCACGCTGCTTTGCAATGTGCTGTTCCCACAGAACTTTCCTTTATCTTTTGAAAGACGGCCTTTGCTTCATCAGTCAGCATAGGGTGACAGGTGTGCCACCAGGCTGTTGAGCTAAAACAGTTTTCTCTCCCTTGGGCTCTACAAGTTGATTTAAAACAAATGAAATCGCTTAAATTTTTTCCTTTATTTTTATTTTATGCATATGGTGTTTTGCCTGCGTGTATGTCTGCACCGTGTACTTGGGGTGCTCCAGGAGGCCAGAGGGGGCCGTCAGATTCTTGGAGCCAGATGACTGTGAGCCACCGTGAGGGTGCTGGGAATCTGACTCAAACTCTGGAAGAGCAGTTGGTGCTTTTAACTACGGGGCCCCCTCTCCAGCCCCTCGAAGTTACTTTTTAAACTTCTGGTAATCGGTAGGACACATTGCCCTGTTTTTATGTATCCATTCTCCTATGTATCCATTCCCCGGCCCAAGAAGAGTTTCTTGTTTCTTTCAAAGTGTGGGCTTTGCTTTTCATGGGCATCCTTAAGCAGTGCCCTTTGAGCTGCTCCACAGATACAAGGCCACACCTGCAAGGTGCAGGTGACACACAAATAACTCCAGCCATGGTACTCGAGTGCAGGGCAACACACGCCAGAGTGAGCCTCACACTGGGCAGGGATACTCTAGGCTGCCCAGGGTGTCTGGTGTCTGGTTTCCCACTCATGAGTCTTGGCAAGGCTTCAGGGCCCCGTGGAGGAGGCATGAAAGACATCATTCTTGAGGTTTCAGATAAAAAAACGTGCTCTTTCTTTTGCTCCGGGACAAGGTCCTCCCCTTTTTCTGGAGCTGAACGATACGCACACAGAGTGTCCTTGTTCCCCTCCAGCAAGGCTCAGGCGAAAGGGCTTTTTCCATCCCGTGCCCACAGCACAGGGAAGCCTTCAGCCTTCAGAGGTTCTGAGGCAAAGCCACGCTGGGCCCAACAAACAAGCCTTCTTCGGTAATCACCTCGGCTGCCAGCATTTCAGTCACAACGGCCACATGCAGCAGAGCTACCGCAGCTCCTTCCCAGATAATCATTAACTAGGATGTGGTCTAGGGAGAGCTCTCAGCTTTTGGTAAAGGGCTTCCCTCGCAAGGGCAAGGACCTGAGTTCAATCACCGGGGCCCACATAAAAAAAAAAATGACAAGCATAGTGACGTGATTTTGTAACCCCACCACTGGCAATGCAGACAGAGCATAGCTTTCGTGGGGGTTGGGGTCCAAGCCAGTGAGAGACCCTGTCTCAAAAAAACCAAAGTGGACAGCACTGAGGGAAACACCCATGGTTGTCCTCTGACCCCACGTGCCCACGTGCATGCATGCATGCACTCACCTCTCACAGTAAACGCACGGGCACATACACAAACATGCACACATACGCATGTGCACACACAGAAACAGCAGGAGGGTGTTTTCGGGGTTGCCATCGACGTTCAGAGACATGGCATGAACTTTTGGAGTAGCTCAGCGATGATAAAGGAGACGTACTGTACTCCCACTGGATAACGGTGTAACCCTGAGCTGGTCAGTTGGGGCCTGTTCACACCAATCTGCCTGTAGTTTCTTCGGTTTCTGATACACAGCTGTGAGCATCACCCAAGACCATCTGTGCAAAGTGTTTGCCGTAAGTGTGAACACTAAATAACAGACAGGGGCGCTTGTATGTGCACCACAAGAGTTCCAGGCCGGGCTGGACCGACAGCCTCCAAAACAATACAGAGAAACCCTGTCTCGTAAAACCAAAAAAAAAAAAAAAAAAGAGCTATGCCCTAAAAAGTTCCGGTGGGTATTTTATCAGAATACTGGACTTGGCTCGACTCTCCACTAATCCTAGAGGTTAAATAATTCCTCCTTAACTCTTCATTTCTGCTCGGCTTCCATTCCAATGGACCCCGCACGGCACACAGACATCCTTCCTAAAGCAGCCATATGCTTGGCCCCATTCAAATGTGATGCCCGGAAGGGAAAGCCAATACAGCCAGAAAGCAGATGAGCGGTTCTGAGGGTCTGAGGGAAGGAGAATGGCGGTGACTGTTAATGGATATATAGGGTTGTTTGTTTGTTTGTTTGTTTGTTTGTTTGTGGGGGGATGGGTGGGAATGCTGAAACACCCTGGATTTAGATTAGCTAATGGTGGTGGTTAAACTACCTAAATGCTAAATGTCACTCTGGTGTGCTCTCTGGAAGGTGAATTTTGTAGCACGTAACTCAATTTTAGAAGAGTATTACAGGGCTGTGGGGTGGGGTGGCTGGGTTGTTAAAGGCAGAAGTTCATAACCAAAGGTCAAAAGTTTGGTTCCCAGCACCCACATCAGAGTCTGTCCCTCCAGCTTCCCTTTGGTGCTGGAGGGATGGCTCAGTAGTTTTAGAGACACGGCTGCCGCTGCAGAAAAGCAACAACACTGTGGTTGACAGCCGTCTGTAACTAAAATTCCAGGGATCCAATGGTGGCCTCTCCTGACTTCTGCGGGCACAGACACACATGCAAGCACAACGCTCACACACATTAAGTGTCGTATAACTTCTAGAATGTGAACATCTTATATTAATGTCTCTAAAGACTGACTTGTTTTCCTGTAGCATGAGAGCATTGTCTGTGTTGTGGGACTGTTCAGGGATTAAATGAAACCCTATGAGCAGGCTAGTGTGCCAGCACTGTTCCAGAGTTCTAGTGGGTCCCCTTAGCTAACTGATATTACCATTATTTTTTATTATGATTGTTGTTATTATTTTCCTACCCATTCATTTCAATAGGTTCCTTGTTTGATATTTATGGTAGAAAGACATTGAATGCCTCTTGTTTTTGTGAAGGTAACCTTAGAGAATTCTCTAGAAGATACAGCTTGAAGGAAAGTCTGCCTTTAGGAAACTGGGATGTCTGCTGTGCCTCCTCCGCAAAAGCAACCAGAAAGCTTAGACTTGGACCAAGTCGCTGCAGAACTGCTTGCTCGGGGCGCCCCCTTGTGGTTGCTCTCAGTAACTGCTTCTGCTCTTCCAGTACCCGACATTACAGTTCAAGGTGCCAGACTCAGAGTCGCAGCATAACAAGCCTTTCATAAACCAAGACATGCAGCTCCACCCCCTAATCAGAATCTGCAGAATCTGCTCCCCGGCGACTTGTATGTTTGCTAAGTTTGAGAAATGCTGGGCCAGAGCCCCTGGGACACATGCCATGTGTGATGCCGGAACCATTTCCTGAGCGTCTGTCCTGGGAACTGCGAACCCTGCTCTAAATATGAAGGGTTGTTTACTTAAAACTTTATAATATCTACAATGAATTTCTCACCTTTAAGAGATGCGTTTTAGGTCCCTTACACTGTGATTATCTGCTTTGCTGAAACGGTGTTTCCAGGTGTGATCGTGGTACGAGTTTGCTCGTCACTGGACAGAAAGACGTCATAGTGACCAAGAGACAACAATCTTGGGCTCATTTTTCAACGCTAATGGGAGAGGCCGTGAATCTAGCTCACCTCCAGGATCCAAGAACCACTGACCCCACGGCTGTAGTTGGATTGTTTTGTTCCGATGCTGGTAATTGAAAACTTTTTCATACATTCCATTGTATTCGCTTTAGATATTCTTCCAAAAACGTACAATCTGTGCTTTCAATGCTGGCCTCCAAGGTTTTCAATTTTTAAAAAATTTATTTTTGTGCTGATTTAAAAAATAAAAGTTTGATTTTTATGACAAGTGAATTATATATCAACTTTAAAAAACCAAAGTTAAGATTCATAAGCCACTGCTCTAAATCCAATAGAAAAATGCCATGGACTGTCTGTGAGCCCAGTAAGCTGAAGAGAGGAATCAGAAGTTCAAGGCCAACCTGGGCTGCATAGTGAGCCTCTGCCCAAAGAGAGAGAGGAGCTAAGGGGCGGGGAGGGGAATGGCAAAGGAGAAATGACTCACAAACTGTCCTCTGACCTTCACACACACACACACACACACACACACACACATACACACAAAATAGTAATAAACTTTAAAGAGAGGACAAATAGTTAAACACGGGTGAATTTCAAAGTTCCTCTTTCAGGAATTGTTACAATATGTAAATAAAATTAGTAAGGGCACAGAAGACTGGATAATGTTATCAACCAACTTGGGTAGGCCAGCTGGGTCAGTGAGTGAAGGCACCAAGCCAAAGAATGTGAATTCAGCCGGGCGTTGGTGGCGCACGCCTTTAATCCCAGCACTCAGGAGGCAGAGGCAGGTGGATCTCTGTGAGTTCGAGGCCGGGCTGGACCGACAGCCTCCAAAACAATACAGAGAAACCCTGTCTCATAAAACCAAAAAAAAAATGTGAATTCAAGAACCAGGTAGAAAAGGGCAGCTGGGGCCTCTGGGGCAAGTGTCCAAGGATCACCCAGTAACTCCTGCAACAGACGGCACAGTCACCGCCTGAGCACCAAAAGCACAAGGTCAGAGAGAAGCCAGATCTTTATGCTTCTGGGGACTAGATGGGAGGGGCGGCAAGATTATTCATGCTAATTACATTCCCCCTTTAAAAGTGTGTGTGTGTCTGTCTGTCTGTGTAGCATGTGTGTGTGTGTTCATGCATGTGTGTATCAGAAGGCACATGTGTGAACCTCTAAGACTAAGAGTGCATAGAAAAAAAAGTAATTAAGGACACAGAGAATATTTTAGGATGCTGAAAACAGTCCTTAAATTGATCATATAGATTGGAACAAGATACATAAGTATACCAAAAAACCACCTAATGCAAGTGCAAATTTACGTGTTTTCATATATGTTATACGTCAATTATTTATTGATTTCATCCAAAAGGTGTTTTTAACTTGAAACAAGATAAAAAACCATTTCCCCTGGAGGGTGTTAGAGTTGCCGTCAGTTGGCACTGGATGAACCACAGAATGTTCTGATGTCACCCGTGATGTCTGAGAAGCCCGTTGGCTGGATGCTGGTGACAGTTTGGATCCTGAACAGTCATTCTGGTGGCAGGGCACAGAGCAGTGCCTCTGGGGTTTCTGGTTCAGGGCACCTGTCCCTGAGCATCTGGGGAACAGAGAAGCTGGGGTTGACTGTTTTGTTTGGGGCTCTTTCCGGCCCTTGGAAAAGCTAGGCGGGCCTAACTACAAGGAAGATGAAGAGATGACAGGAACCACTGGTAAGAAGACAGCTTCTTAGGGAAAGATTCTCCATGCTGCTGGCTCAAGCCAGCCAGGGGTGAGAATTCAGCCCCATGGGGGAGAAAAAGGCCAGCACAGGAGAGGTTTCTGGGTTTGGGGTCCTTCCTGGAGAAGACAGACCCTACCGTCCCTGTCTCTGGGCCTCTTCTCTCCTGCCCATTTTCCAATGGCCACAGAAGACTGGGAAAGCGATCTCAGCATCACTGTCACTCCCCAAACCCCCTTCACTAAGAAGGAAAAGGTGGCCTGAGAATTGAAATCCGACGATGGCGAATTTCAACAGAAACCTGAGTTCAAATTTCTCTCTCCCACTTATTAACCAGATGGGTGTTAACAAGGGTCTTAAACTACCCCCCTCTCCCTCCCCCCATGGGTGCTCTCAGAGGGAGTGAGCGTTGTACCGTCAGGACCATCAAGCCAAACTCCGATCTTTGATTTTGGGAAAGTGCATTTTATTGAGCATTCTGTCCTCATTGTTTCCTTTGCTCTAACTTAAGATACATAGTCTCTCTCCAGCCAGGACCTCACTAAGTGACCCGGGAACCTGCCCATCTCTGCCTCCCCAGCGCTGGGATTACAAGTGTATACACTACACCTTGCTTTTCTCTGCTTTAACGTAGGCTCTGGGGACTGAACTCTGCTCCTTGTGTTTTTTTTTTCCCTTCACCACCTGAGCCATCTCCCCAGCCTCTGTACCACGCTCTTGGTAAGTCTCACACAAATAGAAGGGACACGGGGCAACAGACTGCAACTCTTTCCACAAGTATCATGCACTAAGAATGACGGTAGAGCCGCGACTGCCCCCCCACATCCCCCCACCCCCGCTTCCCAGCCTGGAGCCTCCTTCCTGTAGAACATGGCAAACAAGATGGAGGGATGGAGGTTACTGTCCCAGGTCCCAGCCAGACACAGAGGACAGGTGGGACAGGGTCACATTCAGGATGGACTCTGAGCCAGAGGTTCTATCACAGCTGTTCATTCTTCACCACGTGACCTCGCTACCTGGCCCTTCCATGCCCGGTTCAATTCGTGTCCCCAGGGTAGGGTTCATGAGCAAGATGGAGGGAAGTCCAATCACAATTTACTTCTTCTGCACTTGGCCTTGAACTAAAAAAAAACAGCTTGAGGGAGCTGGATAAGTGGCTCATCACTTAAGAGCACTGGCTAAGGGGACTTGGAGAGATGGCTCAGCGATTGAGAGCAGTGGCTGCTCTTGCAGAGGTCCTGAGTTCAATTCCCAGCCAACACATGGTGGCTCACAACCATCCGTAATGAGATCTGGCGCCCTCTTCTGGCCTGCAGGCACACATGCAGGCAGAGCGCTGTATACGTAATATATTTTTTAAAAACAAAACAAAAAAACTGGCTAGTCTTGCATCTTGCATAAATTCAGCTCCTCGAATCCACATGATGGAGTCCAAACCTCTGAATTCCAGCTCCAGTGGGGTCCAGTGGTCTCTTCTGGGCTCCATGGGCACTGCACACACTCGCCGCACTTACACACAGGCGGGCAAACGCTCGTATACATAAAATAAAAGATAAGTGGGAAAGGCAACTCCGAACTCAGGTAGCCACCCGCTGGAACCATCTTCACCAACAGCCTTTAGACGCAGCAGTGTCCCCTGGCTGCCTCCACTGCTAAAGTCACGAGGGAGCTGGAACTTGACAAAAGCCCCACCCACCCACGTCCATCGTGTGTGCTCAATGCTGAGCTCTCCTGTTCCAGCGAACCCTGGCATTACTGCCAGGGAAAAGAGGGAAAGCGTCGTTCAGGGGACACCACAGTCATCACGTTTGCAAACCTCTGTCTTTGCTCTTGCAATGTAGGCCAGGCCGTGACTCTGCAGCCAGACATCACAGCGGGCTGGACTTGGATCCTCCTGACGGCACCTGGACTCGCTGGCCTGGAGACAGCGCCCCCTGCAGGTTAGTCCGATTCCCCTGCTCTGGAGGAATGGATGGTGGGGGCCTCACCAGGCAGGTTATCTGAGCTGTTTAGAGAGAACCTTCAAGCCCGAGAAGAGCCTGCAACGGAACCGTCAGCCTCGCGGTGTCCCTGGGTCAGGGTGGAGTCAGTGAGGGTGAGGGACAATTTTAGGACAGTAAGACTAACAGATAGGCACTTCAGGTTTGGAAGCAAACCCCCTTGCGAGGGCGCGCCAGGGTCAAACCGCAGGCAGAGGGGGGGGGATACGGCTAGGGTGGCGGGAAAGGCCACAAGGACACTGTAAAGCCCCCGCCTCCTTAGCAGATGGAGAGAATGCTTTGCGACAGTCACCAAAGAGGGAAGGCTGAGGCATGAGACACACCAGGTCCTCACAGGGAATGCATGTCAGAACCGTGGCCGGGGAAGGAGAGAGAAAAAGAGCAGGCAGCCAGGCAGGGTGACCAGGGAACTGACTCCCAGGGGACATAGCATAGAGCAGCTGGGGCTGGGACATCCCTGAGGCCCAACCCAGGTCAGAAACAGCTGCCAGCCCCACTGGGGAGCATGGGAGCAGACACAGAGAGAGAGGCAATTGGACTGGGGTCGAGGAGTTTCAGAAAACAGCTCTGAGAAACCTCACACTGGCAGGACTTTCCCAGTTCATCGCCGGAGCCTGGACAATGCGCTCCACCTTAGCGTTTGGTTTCTTGGTCTGTGTGCTCGGACCGTTGCTAGCAGCCAGCAGAGCACAGGGCCTCCCACCTGAGCACTAACTAGGCAAGTTAGGTACCGGTACTATGCCCCGGTACATTTTCGTGGGAAGCAGAGAGCCCTCCACCCCAGCCCAGCCCGTGCTGTAGCATGTCCTTGCCTTAAGAAAGACTCGAGGGTGTCGACTGGGACTCTCCAGTTCCCCAAGGCTTATATGGAGCCCACACCTTGACCTTACAGACACCTAAGAGCTGGGCCTACCAAAATCCGGCTTCTCATCCTGCCACCCTTCATCTTAGCTGGCTCCCAGCAGCAGCCCGTTAGTCTGGCATCACCTTTACCGCTCCCCATCTTGAACTCCAAGGGCATCTCCACCTGGTCTGCCGCTGCAGATCCCCAGGGTTACAAGAGAATCGTGCAGACCGTTTGCTTGCTGTCTCCACAACCGGATGAGCCTCTGGGGGAAAGAGCTGGTCTTCTAATGGACACTGGCCACCTGCAGGGTGAAACCCAACAGGTTGATGTCCCCTCTTCCCAGTTTGGATAAGGAAAGAGAAAGAGCACAGAGGTACTGTGGTTGCTTAGGTGATCACGCAGGGACCGTGCACCTTGCTGTTCATTGGACAGGGACAGCCACCAGCCATTTGTGTTAGCTGGGTTTGGTTCCCAGAATTCATATCAGTTCAGAACTGTGACTCCAATCCTGGGGAATCTAACATCTTCTTTTGACCTCTGAAATCACCTCCATATGTGTGGTGCATATAAACTCCAGGCACGTACACACACACACACACACACACACACACACACACACACACACACAAAGTAAAATTGTAATTAAAAAAAAATTACAACTTAATAGTCTACAATTTAAAATTTGCTTCCTGTAAGCAAATGTGGGTGCCAGGTTTCACACCAAAATGTAAGCAAGTGAAAGTATTACGTCTCTGGAGCTGCAAAGGTGCCCTGACTCATCGGAAAACCAGGACAGACAACTCTGAAGGGATAGAGAGCAACAGGACAGACAGCTCAACCCTGGAGGGAAAGGTGTCCTGACTTGTCGGACAGCCAGACCACCAGAAACCGAGGTGCAGTGGGGGGATGGTCTCCCCACAAGAACTAGCAATCCTGCCCCTCTCTTGGAGAGAGCCTTAACAGCTGAGCTGTGCTCTTTCCCCTAGCAGAGTTAACCGAGTCTTCTTTGGCTCTTCTTCTGCTACTGTGTGCTTAAGGGGAAGTCCCTGCAGAAATGTAGCAATCTTCCCTCCGCTCTGGGTGAAAAGTGGTTACTTTTCTGCTACAGACTTCCTCAGCCCCCTAAGGGAACCTCCCAGTCAGTTTCTTCTGTTCTGTGCCTGCAAATGAAGATCTTCACCCAAGATTCTTTTGAGAAAGAGACTTATTTGGCAAGGAGGAGATCAGAAGAATGGCTATTTCTACCAGGGTGATAAAGGACAGCCAACGACTGAGCAGGCAGACGGCTTATATAAGGCTTCTTGAGGGCGGAGTTTCCCAGGGAGAATCTTTTTGCTCAGGGATTTGTTAGTTTAGTGGGGCAGAGATGGTTCTAGTGTCAGGGCAATCTGTGTTTCTTTCACTGACCCTTTTTAGCCTTTTGACTCTAATTTTAGGGCCAGAGCATGATTCTAGGGACAAAGTGTGTGTCTTTGGCACTAGTTTCACTGAGTCAGAATTTTTTCTTTGGTTCTGTGTCACGTCTGCTGCGCGGCCTATGTCCGAGAACGTGTGGAGGGTGTCGGGTATTGACAACACAGAGACTCGTTCAATGATATAAAGAAAACTTTAAACAGGCTCCAAAAAGGTTCACGAAAAACTTCCTAAGAAAAGCTCCCACCAGAGAAACTTCTGCTCTCTCCTCTCCCCTGGCTGGTTCTGCTCTGACACCAGAGGTGGATGTGTGTGGGTTTTTGAAGGTGCGGTTAGTCTCTGGACAAGGTCGAGGTCAGGGCGGTTTCCGTGGGAAGGCCTTTCCCAGGAACTTATTGTATCGTTTTTAGTAAACATGTTTTTACTAAACATTGTCTTACAGCTGCCTACTCCCAGGCAGAAGGGGAAGTGGGTCTCTGCTCAAGGTCTGGTGTTCCCACAGTTCTGGGTTCAGGGATAAAGTGTTCCTCTCACTGGCTCAGGGTTCAAATCCTGGGTATGTTTCTTTCACTGGCTCAAGGTTCAGAGTCAGGGTGCTCAGGGATTGGTTGGTTGTTGCTCAAGGTGCTCAGGGATTGGGTTGGTTTGCTGCTCAGGGATTGGTTGGCTCTGTGTTTCAGTTGGTCAGGGGCAGAGTTGGCTCTGGTTGTCAGTTGGTCAAAGTGGACTGACTTTGGTTGGCCCGTTTACCCTACACTTACCAATTGCAATGGACCTATTTTAAATCCTCAGTAGTTAATATGCAACTGACAGATACCCTGCCGGGGAGTTCAAACAGTGACCTCCAACAGCACCTCCCAAAGAGCCTTGAAGCCTGATGATTGTCGCCCATGGTACACAGGTAAGGAGTCAAAACACCCTGACTCTGACTTGTCTTTAATTTTCTGCCACCAGCTTGTTCCCAGGATGCTTGGAACCCTTGCCATTGAGATGCAGGTAAAGAGACAAATACTAAGAGTGTGTCCATTGGCCTTGAGTTCCCCCCAACAAACCTGTACTGGACATCCAGCAGGAGACATCACTGACCGGAACCAGAATGCAGCCCTCCCCCATCACTTCCAAGCCGTGTCCTCACCAACTTCTCACCAGACGCAGGTCTCTAGTAGCTTCTGGCATTTCAGAGACCAGGGAAGGTCAAGTTTGCTCAAAGTCCTGGATTCCTCTGGCTTCTCTACGCTCAGAACTTACATTAGGAGATGCTCGTCCCGTTGTGAGCTCTCTTGATCTGGTGACGCTCGGCTAAAACAGTCTGCCCATCGCAGCCTGCTAACTGGTCTTCCATGGAGGCACCAAGGCTGGGCCACCTGGACCGTCAGAGCCACACCCCACCCACAAGGCTGTCCAGATGTGTCCTCCATCCTCCCCGGGCCTTCGGTCCTCCGCCCTGAGGCTCAGCCACTGCCTTGGTCTCTGTCTCTGTCTCCTTGCTTAGAAACTGGCCCGAGTGTCATCCACACACAGCTTCCAGGCACTGTGTTCTTTCTTCCGGCCGTGGGTAGGTCCCGCTCAGCTGCTGCTTCTATGACCCACAACCCAAGGGGGCAGGGATTCTTCCCCCACTCGTCCTTTTCTGGGCAGCTTCTGCCACAGCTGGCCCGCGATGAAGTGAGAGTCAAGATGTCATAGCCCATCCTACTGAGTTCCAAGTTCCAGGCTGCCCACACCAGCCAGCCACCTGAGAATCAAAACCAAGATCCTCTCTTTTCCTAGCGTGGAGTCTCCACACGAGAAACCAGGTCCCTTTTTTGTAGGTTTGCCTCCTCCAAGTCAGACTGGATGTTTGTGATGGGCTTCCTTCCTTCGGTAAACCCCTCAAAGGAGCCTGACTCCCGGGGGGGGGGGGGAGTGCCGAAGGCCCTTTTTCATTAACTGGGAAGTTGCTGCAATCTTCCCGGTTGGATCTGGGTACCAAGGACCTTGCCGCTGTTTGGTAACAGGAAACAGACTAAGACCTTGTGGGAAGAAGAGCAGAATAATAATAATTTTTAAAAAGGATGTGGGAGAAAACTAGATGGAGAGAAAGAGACTTTGCAAGGCTTTTCCTAAATGCCTCTCCCCATCTAGTCAGTTACGGGTTTGTTTAATAAAAAGGCCGTGCGGGTTGGTTAGAAACGGGCATGAAAGGCAATGCTCACAACGAGAGAGCCAAGCAAGAAAACGAAGGTGTCTAAAAAGGACCTGTCTTAAAAAGGACCTGCATTCAGTTTCACAGACAGCCAAGAGAATGAAGCCTGTCGCTCTGTCACTCTGTCACTCTGGCGTGGCAGGCCAGTTCACACGGGTTACACAGGCAGGAACCTAAAAGGATGTTGTCATTTCCAGAAGTGGAAGACTTGCTTTTGTCAAGATTTGAAGAGTGTGGGGGACCGTTCCCTCCACCTTGCACAATTTGACGCGTTTTACATGCACGAATGGGCGTCACAAAGATACGAGGTGCTGGGGTCACGGATGAGGGCTTCTCGGAGACAGAAACAGACGCGGGAACACAGCTTGTTCTGCTCCCACCCACCTCCACCCCCTATCGAGTCCCATAGGCCACAAGCAGCTCCACAGGCAGCCAGGACAGAGAACCGGACAGCTCTCTGTATCCAGGCGAGAAAGTGCAGTCCCGCCCCCAACCCTCAACCCTCAATGCCGCCTTGGTTCTTTGGGGGAGGATCCTGGATTCTCACCCCAGCCTTTTGGAATATAAGAAGCCTCTCTCCAAGAGCCCTAATTAGTCTCAGGCACTTGGAGCCACCGAGAAGTCTCCAAGGCGTGGACTGGTAAACGCCCGGGACGATCGGGAAGTGGCAGTCCCTTCGTCCTGAAATTCTGAAGAATTCCACCTGAGATATTAGTCTGGGCTTTAATTATTAAGATGTTATAACTGAGAAGTTGTATCATTCTTATGAACCAGAGAAATTGAAAAGAAAAAAATAGGGTGAAAAAAACAACAACCTGAGCTCTAGGGACAGCCCAGGCAAACGGCCACCTGCTGACCACATAGTGTTCCTGTCCCCGGAGTATTAAAACGCTAGGGAAGACTTTTTTCCCTTTTCCTCTATAACAAAATACAAGATAAAACAAGTCGAAGTTGGACACGGCAAACTAACAGAAAGAAAAGAGGTCAGGAGAAGGCGCCAGAATCAGACGCCCAGCAGCTCTCCTGTGCATGCATGCCCGAAAGCCACCGTGCATGCATGCACAGGCAGAGGGAGGAGGGGCCCTTAGAGCCGCTTAGAGCCGCGGCTTCCACGCAGTTGCAGCGCCTGCAGTTTGGATTTTGCGGATGGAAGCGCACGACCTTCTTTCTTTCACGGAGAGGAAGGAAGCCCAGGAAAGCCGGCTCTGACCACACGACTTTGACTCCAGAAATCCCACTTTGTGGAACGGTGACAAAGATGAAACCCGAGATCAAGAGGAGTTACCAGGCTCCCAGCCATAGGACGCCTGAGATGGACAGACTGGAAAGCAAAATGCAAAGGAAGGAAGCAACGCGGCGGAAGTCGCGGCCTCTGGAGGTGAGGATGCAATTGCTCTGGGGTGGTAGGGATGCCCCGCCCCCGCCCGGACCCCGACCCCCTGAAGAGTCCAACCTGTGTTTCCTAGCTTTCTCCTCCATTTTTTCCCCTGTGAGTTGTAAAGCTGGAAACAGAAATGAGTTTTTTTGGGTTGTTGTTTTTTTCCTTCTGTTCCCCAATTTGGACAAGTTGTGTCAATGTTTGGTCTTGCGGGTTTGAGAGTTTGTCCAATAATGGACCTGAGAGAACAGTTGTGACCGCAGACCTGAGCCCGTGGGTTACTACGTGAAGTATTGTGCTAGGTTATTATGGTTTTTGTTTTTCTGGTTTTTTGAGACAGGGTTTCTCTGTATTGCTTTGGAGGCTGCCCTGGAACTCGCTCTGTAGACCAGGCTGGCCTCGAACTCACAGAGATCCACCTGCCTCTGCCTCCGGAGTGCCGGGATTAAAGGTGTGCGCCTCCGACGCCCAGCTATGCTAAGGTTATTTTTATTAAAATTTTTTATTTTTAAATTTAAATTCAAATTAGAAACAAGGTTTCTTCACATGTCAATCTCACGTCCCTCTCCCTTTCCCTCCCCTCCTCCCACCCCCTCCCACCACCCACCCAATACCCCCTCCTGTCCCCAGGGAGGGTGAGTTCTTCCATGTGGTCGATTTTTGAAAAGGTTCCATGTGGTGGTGAGAAGAAGGTATATTCTTTTTTATGTGGATGAAATATTCTATAGATGTCTGTTAATCCCAGTTGGGTCATTACTTCTATTAAACCCTTTGCTTCTTTGTTGAGTTTCTGTCTGGTATTCCTGTCTAGTGGAGAGAGTGGTGTGTTGAAATCTCCCACTATAAGTGTGTGGGGCTTTATATGTGATTTAAGTTTTAGTAATGTTTCTTTTACTAATGTGGATGCCTTTGAATTTGGGGCATAGATGTTCAGGATAGACACTTCATCTTGGTGGATTTCGCCTGTGATGAGTATGTAATGACCTCCTTCATCTCTTTTGATTGATTTTATTTTAAAGTCTAATTTGTTAGATATTAGGATTGCTACCCCTGCTTGTTTCTTGGGTCCATTTGATTGGAAAAAATTTTCCCAACCTTTAACTCTGATGTAATGTCTGTCTTTGAGGGTGAGGTGTGTTTCTTGTATGCAGCAGAAGGATGGGTTCTGTCTTCGAATCCATTATGCTAGCCTGTGTCATTTTATGGGGGAATTAAGGCCATTGATGTTGAGGGATATTAATGACCATTGATTGCCCATTCTTCTTTGATTTGGAATGGTTGGTGGTGGTGGACTTATGTGTGGAATTACACCCCTTTGTTCTTTTGGCTGTTGGTAGAGAGGGATTCTCTAATGCCTATGTTTTTCTGGTTGTAGTTAACTTCCTTGGGTTGGATTTTTCCTTCTAAAACCTTCTGTAGGGCTGGGTTAGTGGATATGTATTGCTTGAATCTAGTTTTGTCATGGAATATCTTGTTTTCTCCATCTATAGTGATTGAGAGCTTTGCCGGGTATAGTAGTCTGGGTTGGCATCCATGGTCTCTTAGTGTTGGTAGAATATCTATCCAGGACCTTCTGGCTTTCAGAGTTTCCATGGAGAAGTCAGGTATAATTCTGGTAGGTTTGCCTTTATGTATTACTTGGCCTTTTTCCTTAGCTGTTCTTAATATTCTTTCTTTATTCTGTATATTTGGGGTCTTGATTATTATGTGGCAAGGGGACTTTTTTTTGTGATCCACTCTGTTTGGTGTTCTGGAAGCTTCTTGTACCTTCATTGGCATGTCTTTCTTAAGGTTGGGAAAGTTTTCTTCTATGATTTTGTTGAATATGTTTTCTGCCCCTTTGAGGTAGTTTTCTTCTCCTTCTTCTATACCTATTATTCTTAGGTTTGGTCTTTTCATGATGTCCCATATTTCCTGGATGTTTTGTGTTAAGGATCTGTTGGACTTAAGATTTTCTTTGGTTAATGAATCCATTTCTCCTAGTGTATCTTCAACACCTGAGATTCTCTCTTCCATCTCTTGTATTCTGTTGGTAATGCTTGTATCGGTAGTAACTGACCGTTTTCCCAGCTTTTCTATTTCCAGCCTTTCTTCAGATTGTGTTTTTTTTATTGTCTATATTTCAGTTTTCAACCCTTGCACTGTTTGAATTGTTTCTTGCAATTTTAGGTTTATCTTTTCATTCATTTGTTGCATTTTATGAATGTTTTGGTTTATTCTTTCTTCCATTCTTGCATTTTTTTTGGTTTGCTTTTTCTTCCAGTTCTTGTATTTTTTGGTTTGCTTTGTCTTCCATTTCCTGCCTTTTTTGGTTCATTTCTTCTTGCATTTCTTGCATTTTTTGCTTTGTTTTTTCTTCCATTTCCTGCATTTTTTGCTTTGTTTCTTCTTCCATTTCCTGGATTTTTTGCTTTGTTTCTTCTTCCATTTCTTGCATTTTTTTGGTTTGTTTTTTCTTCCATGTCTTGCATTTTTGGTTTGTTTTTTCATCCATTTCTTTGAGGGATTTTCCTATATCCTCTTTTAGAGTCTCTATCAGTTTCATAAAGGTGGTTTTAAGGTCATTCTCTTCTGCTTTATTTGCATTGGAATGTTGGAGTCTTGCTGGTGTGGAGTCTCTAGAATCTGGCGGTGTCATATTTGTTTTTCTGTTGCTAAGTATGTTTTTGTATTGTCTCTTTCCCATCTCTTCTTCTGGTAGGTGCAGAAAGAGCCCCTTACCGGTCTGGTGGTTAGGGGACCAGAGTTCCCTTCTGGTGGGTGCTAGCAACTCCAATAATCTGGTAGTTCTTCTATTCCTTGTCCTCGTTCTGGTCCCATGGGTGGAGAAGACCAGGAATCTGGGGTGCTTGGCTCCCGCCGGGATTGGAAGCTCTGTGCAGTTCCCAGGCAATCCCCAGGCACTGGGACACAGACCCAAGGTTATTTTTAAATGATCCTTCTATACTCTGATCTGGAAGACTTCTCATAGGCTACGTAGAGTTAAAAGCTGCAAAAGACAGCTCTTGATCCAAGAGGAATAAGAGAATTTATTCTGAGCCAAATAGGAGTGTCCAACAGTCAGAAACTCACATGGAGGTTATCTTAAATGTGGTAGCACTCTCCTCCATGGAAGAGACTGCATGAATGTTCATAATATAGAACAAAGGGTCATATATTAATACATTGGTCATCAGGCACACCGTCACTCAAGGACCCAGGTTTGGGTTTGGGGCTGGTGGGAGTTAGTGGTCCAACTCGGAGAACACACGCCAACAGTTTTGCCTGACAGTGACGATGGCATTAATGGGATTGTTTGTTTGTTTGTTTGTTTGTTTTTGGAAGGATGGGGCGTAAAATTCAAATTAGTCAGAGATGATTTTGGAACTTGATCTACAACACTTCCTTCTCCTGGCCTGGGTCAATTGCTACAGAATTGTCCATGTGCATTTATGGTCTTTCCAAGAAACCTACCACAATTCCTAGCACAGGGGAGCCTCGGAGAGTTGGCAACCTTGTCTTTGGAAGAGCATGTATGAGAAAAGTTCAAATGCAGCCACGAAGAAAAGCATGCATGTCTAGCTCAGCACCGATGGAAACAGAATGCCGTGAGTTTATGTTAAAGGAACAAACTGCACCCGCTCCTGGACAAGGGCTGGGCTAGGGCAGGAACAAATGGAAGTGTTCTCTTGGGGACTTGGATTTATTCACTCAACAAATAAATTGAGTGTGTCTACTCTGTGCCAGGCACTGAATTCTTCCCAAAGATTATTATAGCGCTAGGCACCAGCCTCCACACCATAGAAACTGCTCTCCAGTAGTAGGGCTGAGGCATTACAGTCAGACATAGATGGGTCCCACAACATCGGGGGCCAGAAATACTGTGGCAAATAATTAAATCGGGTGTCCCAGAGACAGGGTCACCATTTTGAATGGGGTGAGGAGGGAAGGCTTCTCTCTAGGAAGCAGAGACCCAAAGAATGAGAGATACCAATCAAGCACTTTCCTAGCAAACACCACCGCCTGGCCTGTATCAGCTTTTATATGTAGATAGAGACACACATTCACAAGAAGTGTGCCACTCAGAGAACCCTGCCAGGTTCAAGGTTCTTCTGGTACCCGGCTCTCTCTTTCCAGGGAGATATAGATCCTGGAGACGTCCTAATTCCTGTTTATTTCCTCTGGGCTTGGGAGTACAATGTTCCAGCACCACAGAGAAGAGATGTAGCTACCATCTTCCCTTTCTACCTCCTTCCTCCCCTCCCTCCTCCTCCCCCCCAAACGCACCAGTGGCTGCTTATTACATGGACCAGCACTGCTCTGGACCTTGTAAGGAGTGAGAATGAAGAGTATGCAACCCAGAGAGGCATGTTCCAGGCTCAACTCTTGCTTTCCTGAGGTGTGACCTTAACCCTGACCCCTCTGGAACACTATCTTCAAAATAAGGAATACTTCAAACTATCCCACAGAAGCAAAGCTCTTAAAGACTTCGTTGGTGTCTGGGACAGAAGAAGCGTTAACTCCATAGCTCGATGCTGTGTCTGCTTTTGTGTTTCACCTGTCCTTACTATTATTTAAAGTTTTACGATAATAAAATATTTGAAGACAAAACAAAGTAATATAACGAATGTATGCCCAGCAGCTCTTTTCTCATCTTTAGTAGATTTCTACTTTTTTCATACTATATATATATATATATATATATATATATATATATATATATATTGGTTTTTACGAGACAGGGTTTCTCTGTATTGTTTCGGAGGCTATCGGTCCAGCCCGGCCTCGAACTCACAGAGATCCGCCTGCCTCTGCCTCCCGAGTGCTGGGATTAAAGGCGTGCACCACCACCGCCCAGCCATACTGTATATTTTGATTTCATTCTTTCCCTTTCCCCAACTTCTCCAGGATCCCATCCATTTCCCTACCCATGTATCTCAGTTACTGTTCCATTGCTGTGGAGAAAACCATGACCAAGACAACTCTTATAACAGAAACCATTTAACTGAGGGCTTGCTTACAGTTTCAGTGGGTTGGTCCATGATCATCACTGTGGGAAGCAGACACTCATGGCACTAGAGGAGTAGCTGAGAGCTTTGCATCCCCATGGCAACAGCAGGCAGAGAGAGAAACACAGGACCTGGTGTGGGTTTTTGAAGCCCATCCATCCCCAGTGACACACCTTCAACAAGCTCACACTCCCTAATCCTTCCCAAACAGTTCCACTAACTGGGTATCAAGCATTCATACATATGAACCTATGAGGGGGGCATTCTCATTCAAACTACCACAACACCCAACTTCATGTTATTTCAAAAGAAAGGAAGAAATAGAAAAGGCTAGCATTGAACTCATAGAGATCTGCCTATTTCTGCCTCCCACATGTGGAAATTAACTGTGTAAAGATGTGTTACATTAGCACAGACACTGAGATCGACAGGTAACAATACCATAAAGTGTTAAACGTGTTAGAACAAATGTGTCCCCAAATGTGCCCCCAAAGTAGAGGAACCACCTGTGCTGAGAAGACAGGCGTTGATGAGGAGTTAGGTCACGGACTATCAAGGCGTGGCATCATTGTCTCTTAGAGAAAGGTAGCTCTTAGGTGTTGCTAAAGGGAGAGATAAGACTGAGGTTGGAAGTCTTCCAAACCACTTGGGAAGCAGAAGTAGGCAGATCTCTGTGAGTTCAAGACCAGCCTGGTACCCACAGAGGCAGAAGAAGGAGGCAACCAGAGGTCCAAGTTGAAAACACTGAACAGAGCTCCAGGGTAGGAGGCCTGGGGAGAATCTGACAGCTGGGGATGAGGAGCTCTACAAAGGTACGCTCCTTCAACAAACGTTAGGTGGAGCAGCACGTTTATTTGAGGTCTGGGGGGATTCCAGCCCGAGAAAGATAAGAGATCAGTGGAGACAGGGAAATTCAGAGTTCCTGGAATGGCCAGGAGAGCGGCTAACCAGGCCATACATATCAGAAGCAGTCCCAATGAAGGCAACACTGAGTGGGGTGTTACAGGATGAATCAGAGTCAGCCAGGTAAGCCACATGCCCTAAGGAGTGCGGCATGGGCCATGCGGCTGACTCATCCCGATCAACGGCAAAGATCCCAGCAGCTGGAAGACTAAGCAGGTCCATGTTTCTGGGCTGCCAATCAGGAAGAAGACTGGCTGCCAATCAGGGGTGAGGGAGAAGACTGGCTGCCAATCAGGGATGAGGGTGATGGGAGAGGCCAGTGGAGAGGTTTATAAAGAGCTACCAAGAAGCCTCGGGTAACAAGGACTTCACCCAAAGGCCAAAACAGAGCCATCCATCAGAGTGTTTCCCAGATGAGTGCTGGATCAGGAAATGCATTTAACTGAGAAGTTGCTATGACCACGGAGACAAAAAACAAGGGATTCAGCACCAAGGAAGCAGTGGGTCCGAATGAGGAAGAGTGTAACTAAGCAGGAAACTGAAACCTGGAATAAGCAAACTAGGGGGAAGACCCAGCCTGGGGGGGAGAGGAGGAAGGAAGTGTGAGGGAGCAACAGTACTGTTAGAAATCACGAGTAAGGCTGGAGAGGCGGTCATCAGTTAAAAGTCTAGAAATCATGACTAGGCTGGAGAGGCGGTCATCAGTTAAAACTGCTAGAAATCAATACTAGGGCTGGAGAGGCGGTCATCAGTTAAAAGTGCCCGCTGCTCTTAAGGAGAACCTGGGTTCACACCCCAGCACCCACTTTGTGTCTCATAGCCATGCTTAGCTCCGGTTCCAGAGGATCCAGTGCCCCCTTCCGCCCTTGTGAGCAGCAGGCACACGTGTGGTGCGCGCACACAGGCACACGCACACATGCGGGCCAAGCATTCCTAAAATAAGCTTAAAGATCTACGACGAGAGTATGAATCCATATTTACGGATGGAAAAAATGTTCACCGGGGCCTGGAGAGACAGCTCCGTGGTAAAAAGCGCTTACTGTTATCCCAGCAGACCCAGGCACGGTTCCCAGCACCTACGTATCAGCTCACAGCCGTCTGTAACTCCAGTCCCAAGGAATCTAAAACCATCTCACGGCCTCCGTGGTACACAGCTACACATGCAGACAAAAAACAGCCATACACTTATAACTAAATAAAATGTTTAAGTCCACTAAAAATGGTCAAATAAGGGACTACAGAGATTGCTCAGTAGTTAAGAGCATCATGCGCTGCTCTTACAGAGGACCTGGGTTCAATTCTCAGCCACATGGCAGCTCACAGCTCCATTCATAACTCCAGTCCCCGAGGATCTTATGTCCTCCTCTTACCTCCTGGGGAACTGCACACTCATAGTGCATATACACACATGAAGGCAAACACTCATACACATACAATAAAGATACTTCTACAAAACTGTCAAGTGAACTTGACTATGGTAGCACATACCTTTCCACGCAACACCCAAAAGACAGAGGCAGGAGGATCGCTATGAACTTAAGACCATCCTGGCCTATGCAGTGAGTTCCAGACCAGTCTGGCCTACATAGTGAGTTCCAGGACAGCCTGGAACTACAAGCCAGAGCCACATAGAAAATAAAAAAAAATTTTGTCAAGTTGATGCATTTATCTAATTATTCTTTATCACTAAAAACTTGGGAGTCAGATATCTGCATAAGAACCTGAATGATCAGAGAAGCGGCAGAGAAGCAACCAGTGGCCTCTCCTATCTCTGTATTCCTCCATCCAAAAAGGGCGGAAACCCTCTCTACTCCGCACCCTACTACTTCCTGCCTATCTATCCTCAGTCCTCCAAGACCTCTATGGTTAATTTTGGTCAGCTAGTAGCTAGCTCTGCCCTCTGGTTCGAAGCAAACTTTATTGTCAGAATGTGATCAAAATATCACACAACATCAAGTGAGGAAAAGGATTGAGAGGCACTGTTTCACAATAGCTAGGAAATGACATCTTAAAAGGAGCTATGTGTGTGCATACATGGCCGTCCACACACTTAGTGTCGTCTAGAAGGAAAGTGAAGGTAAGTTTTGCCCAGTATCGGGGTTCCAGGTAGCTTTTACTTTATTCCATGTGTCTTTCTGCACCATCTTGTTATTCTTCAATTGGCGTGCCCCATCTTCATAATCAGAAAAAGCTGTTTCATTCTGAAAGCAAAACCTCAATAAGACCTGACGAGACAGACGGCTCAGTTAGTAAAAGGCTGGCCCCTCAAGAACAGGGACCTGAGTTCAGTCCCCAGAACCAGGGTAAGCAATGGCGGCACATGCTTATAATCCCAGTGCTGGGGACGCAGAGAAGATCCCTGGAGTTTGCAAACCAGACAGCCTAGCCTACTCTGTGAGTTCCAGACCAGAAAGAGGATTCAATTTAAAAAAAAAAAGTGGCTGAACCTATGGAATGCCACCCAAGGCTACACACACACACACACACACACACACACACACACACACATGCAAACCCTAGAAAGTAACCTTCTGCGTCCTTTCTAGCTGTTCCTGGACAGCTACTCTTGCAAACTCAGTGAACTCCAAGTTCAATGAGAGAACCTGTCTAAAAAAATAGAGTGGAGAACAAGCAACTAGGAAGATACTGAACATCAATCTCTGGCTTCCCTGCACACACGTGAGTGCATGCATACCTGCGTATACATATGCCCACACATGCATGTGCATGCATACCTCCATATACATATGCCCACACATGCATGCGCATGCATACCTGCGTATACATATGCCCACACACGCGTGTACATGCATACCTACATATA